TAAAAGGATCCCTGGCTGGCTGGACCCCCAGCTCCCTGCCGCTGCCGCCATCAAGCATAGCTGGCTGGCTCCGCCTGGTTCCCTGCCGCTGCCCTGCTCAATGATCGCTGGATGGCTCCGCCCAGGCCCCAGCCTAAAGCTTCAGTCTGAGGCTTGGGGCTGACATATGCAAATTAGCTGCCCATCTTGGCGGCAGTTAATTTGCATATCTCACTGATTAGCCAATGCAAAGGGTAGCGGACATACGCCAATCACCATGTTTCTCTTTTATTAGATAGGACTAGAGGCCCAGTGCACAAAAATTTGTGCACTCGGGGGGAAGGAGGAGTCCCTCAGCCCGGCCTGTGCCCTCTCACAGTCTGGGACCCCTCAGGGGATTACAATCTGCTGGCTAAGGCCCACTCCCTGGGGGATTGGCTTAAGATGGCAATCAGACATCCCTCTGGCAGCCCAGCAGCCCTCGGGGGATGTCCACTTGCCAGAGGGTAGCAGGCCTAAACTGCATTCGGACATCCTTAGCGCTGCTGAGGCAGGAGAGGCTCCCACCACCACCACTGTACTGGCAGTCATCAGCCTAGCTTGTGGCTGAGCAGAGCTCCTCCCATGTGAGAGCGTCCTGACCACCAGAGGGCAGCTCTTGCATTGAGCGTCTGCCCCCTGGTGGTCAGTGTGTGTCACAATAACCAGTCATTCCCAGTCCTGCTGTTAGGGTCAGTTTGCATTTTACCCATTCGCTATATGGGACAGAGGCCTGGTGCATGGGTGGGGGCCAGCTGGTTTGCCCTGAAGGGTGTCCCAGTCAGAGTGGGGGTCCCGCCTGGGTGCCTGGCCAGCCTGGATGAGGGGATGATGGCTGTTTGCAGCTGGTCACACCCCTTTCAGGGTGGAGGTCCCCACTGGGGTGCCTGGACAGCGTGGGTGAGGGGCTGAGGGCCGTTTTCAGGCTGGAGGGTGACTGAAGCTCCCTACCGCTCCTTTTTTTCTTTTTCCTTTTTATTCTGGGATTTATTTACCTTCTATAGCTGTCCCTGGAGCTGAGAGCCAGCTCCAGCTCTGAGGCTCGGCTCCAGCTCTGAGACCTCGGCTGCTGAAAGCAGGTATCTGGGTTTGTTTGGCTTCTATAATTGAAACACTGTTGCAGCTCCAGCTCTGAGGCCCGGCTGGCTAAAAGCAGGTTTCTGGGATTTGTTTACTTTCTATAATTGCGACAGTGTTTCTTAGAGTGCAGCTCAGAGGCTGGCAGTGGTAGGCGGGGAACCTTGGCTTCCTCCATCACTGGAGCAAGCAAGCCTCCTGTTTGCTTCAGCTGCCTGGCTGCCGGCCGCCATCTTGGTTGGCAGTTAATTTGCATATTGCCCTGATTAGCCAATGGGAAGTGTGTCAGAGGTATGGTTAATTACCATGTTTGTCTATATTTAGATAGGATGGATCAATTATAAGAAAAAAATTAAAGGAAATGAAAAACTGTGCAGGAGATGATAGCATATTAAAGCAAATTGGACTGAAAAATATCCTTGAAATGGAACAATATGAAATTCAATTTTGATATTAGTAAGAGCTGTATAGTATAATGGATTGAGAAGCAAATGGGAGGTAAGAGTAAAGGGACATAGCAAGAAAGAGAAAGGATACAGAGAGGGTTTTACTTGTTTTAATAGAAGTGAACTGAAATACCAATAGAAAAGCCTCCAGTTGACAGGGAACGGTAGAAGATGGGTGAAGATGTGAAGTAATTTACAGATCTGGTGATAGAAACTCAGATAATTCTCATCCAATAGCTGCTATTTCCTCTGAGATATAAGACAAGGTTATCTACTGAGTATAAAGGGATAGAGAATAGGGTTGGGGAGAGGTTTGGGAAAGCAATATGAAATTTTCAAAGAATAGGAAAGTGACATGATGAGAGAATAACACTTGGGGAAAGAATCATATCTTTCCTTTGCTTATGAATATTCAAAAGAATGGTCTAAATAGAGTAAAATTATTTTTAAAAAGTAGTCTGGGGACAGATTACATTCTTAGTATATTTATTATTGAATGCCTATGTTACTGCTAGACACAGTTCAAAGGACAGAATATGATCAAAAGTAATAAGATCCCTCTTTTCATTAATGGAAGGGGAGGAGAACAGAGTTAAAAAAAGAAGCAAGAAAATATCATATTATGAAAAGAGTGATGAATAAAAGAGGGTACAAGAGAATGGGTACTGGAGGGTCGAAAAGTTTTAGATGTAGTGAGTGATTAGAGAAACCAATCTAAGAGGAGATACTTTAGCTGAGACATAATTGTCGACAAGGCACACATGCAAACATCTTGAGGGAGAATATTATAAAAGAAAAGAAGAAGAGTAACAGAAAGAGGGCAGTGTGGCTGAAATACAATGAACAATAGGGCAAGTGGTAAGAAATGAGGTCAGAGAAGCAGGCAGGGTGCAGATTCTTCAGGTCACTGCAGGCTATGGTTCAATCAGATTTTACTCTCTAAAAGCAATGAAAAGCAATTGAGGCTTTTAAGCCAGGGAATGATAAATTGTGATTTGTGCTTTTAAAAGATCATACTAACCACTTTGTGAAGAACCGGCCACAAGGTGTAAAAGATAAAGCAGAAGAAGTTGATAACTTCAACTAAACAAAATTAAAAACTTTCCTCAAAGACAGAATTAAGTAAAAATAAAAGCCACATGCCCTGACCGGTTTGGCTCAGCGGATAGAGAGTCGGCCTGAGGACTGAAGGGTCCCAGGTTCAATTCCGGTCAAGGGCATGTACCCTGGTTACAGCCAACCCCCAGTGGGAGGTGTGCAGAAGGCAGCTGATCGATGTTTCTCTCTCATAGATGTTTCTAACTCTCTATCCCTCTCCTTTCCTCTCTGTAAAAAAGCAATAAAATATATTACAAAAAGTAATATATACAATAAAATATATTTAAAAAATAAATAAAAGCCACAGAGTACACTAATATGACTAACAAAGAAGTCCTAAATATATAAGTCACAGTAAGAAAAAGAGAAACAATCCAAATAAAAAATGAACAACATGCTTGAAAAAGCACATCACAAAAGAGGAAACCTGAACGAAAAGATAATCAGCCTCATTAGTAACCAAGGAAATACTAAATTGTTAAGGTACCATTTCACTGAGTTACCAATTATCCTGCTCTCATAGTAATCACTTCCTTACTTTTTTCTAAATTTTACTACCTTTGAACGTATTTTTGTCTGTTTTGAAACTTTTTGTAAATGCAATCTTACTGCCTGTATTCTTCTGTGAGTTGCTTTGTTCAACTTTATGTTGTTAAGATTAGTCTACCTGAATTACATGTACATAGTTGATATATTTCCACTGTTGTACCATTACTTAGGTGTGCCACATTTTGTTTAACCATTTTACTGCTCAAGGACATTTGGATGATCCCCTCCCCTGCCTTTTCCTTTCTCTCTTTCTTCTTTTCTATCTCTCTCTCTCTTTTTTTGTTTGCTACTTAACAACAATGATCCAAACAAGTTTGTACATGTCTCAAAGTGCACATATGGAAGAATTTCTCTCAATATATACTGCTCAGTTGTAAGGTAGTTACATGCTCAACTTCACTATGTAATACAATCAATGTAATTAAAAACTTAAAAAGTAGGATTTAGGTTATAAGGCCATTATATTACTCGAGGCAATAAATGATGATGATTTGAATCAGGATGCTAATAGGTAATGAGAAGTGATCAGATTTGGGATATATGTTAGAACTAAAATGACAAGATTAACTAATGATCCTTAAGTTTCTACCTGAGCAATATAGGTGGACAATCTAGCTATCTATGAAGAGGGAAAGACTAAAGGAAGATGGTTTTACAATTTCACTTAGAAGAATTTATAAACCTGGAAAAAATGCTTCAAAAGATCACTTTTCTCATAAAGCTAACACAAAAATAAATGTTTTTTTACCTTTTGCTTTCTCTTTTCCTGCTTGAGCAGAACCCTGGTCCTGAAAAGAGAAAGATAAAAATATAACAATTAAAGAAGTGGTCTCTAAAATAACTGTCACTTCAGCTGAATTGAAGACTTGGAATTACAACTAAAAGTGCAGTGATAAAAAAATATTTTTAAGTGTAGTCATAATTATTTCTGAAAAGAAACAATGAAAATGTTGTTAAAATATGCATAGTGTATAATATTCCACATAATTTTCTTAGAAAATCCAAGAATAAAAAAGATTATAGACATGATAAATAATTAAACAGAAAATAAGTATGGATTATAAAATAAATATAAGCAAAGAGAAATCATGATTAAAAAGGATACATCACTGAAATATTCTCATCTGATACCAATATTTTGGTCAACACGCTATTTTCTTCACCGTTCTTTGTATTTAATATTATACTAAAAAACAGGGAATAGAGAGAGAAAATCTAAATATAGGATATAAGGAAATGTTAAATTTTTCATTACAGCAACTTTACTTACATTAATATATCAGTTATTTGAACTTGAAATGTCATATCTTCTTTAAAAAATAGCTAGTTATTATGGATGTCTTTCACAACTAAGATCTTGTGCCAAACACTGCATTGAATCACAATGATAGTACAGTATTTAATGGTTATAAAATATTTGCTCTATTAGTAATAGAATGCTATAAATATAAGCAGATCTGCTCAAAATATATTTTGAACATACATAAACCTAAGGTCTCAAATTCAAGATCTGTGCAAAAATTTAAAGTAAAATGATAAAATTTTCTTAGCTATATGAGATCCTATCTAATAATAGACAAACATGGTAATTAACCATACCTCTGCTACGCTTCCCATTGGCTAATCAGCAGGATATGCAAATTAACTGCCAACAAAGATGGCAGCCGGCAGCCACACAGCTGAAGCAAACAGGAGGCTTGCTTGCTCCAGTGACGCAGGAAGCCAAGGTTCCCTGCCTGCCACAGCCCAGCTCTAAGCTCCGGATGCAACAATGTTGCAATTATAAAAGCTAAACAAACCTCAGGTACCTGCTTTCAGCCTGCAGCGGGCGCAGAGCTTAGAGTACCAGTGATGGCAACAGAGTTTCATTTATAGAAGCTAAACAAACCCCAGATATCTGCTTTCAGCCAGCCATGGCCTCAGAGCTGGAGCCGGCTCTCAGCTCCAGTGACAGCTATAGAAGGTAAATAAATTCCAGAATAAAAAAAAAAAAGAGACTGGGAGCTTCAGTCATCCACCAGCCTGAAAACAGCCCTCAGCCCCTAACCCAGGCTGGCCAGGCACCCTAGTGGGGACCCCCACCCTGAAGGGGGTGTGACCAGCTGCAAACAGCCATCAGCCCCTCATCCAGGCTGGCCAGGCACCCCAGTGGGGACCCCCACCTTGAAGGGGGTGTGACCAGCTGCAAATAGCCATCAGTCCCTCACCCAGGCTGGCCCGGCACCCAAGCAGGAGCCCCACACTGATCCAGGACACCCTTCAGAGCAAAGCAGCTGGCCCCTCCCTTGCACTGGGCCTCTATCCTATATAGTAAAAGGATAATATGCAAACTGACCCTAACAGCAGAAAGACTTGGAATGACTGGTCACTATGACAGACACTGACCACCAGGGGGCAGATGCTCAATGCAGGAGCTGCCCGCTTGTGGTCAGTGCGCTCCCACATGGGGGGAGCTCTGCTCAGCCACAAGCCAGGCTGACGGCTGCCAGTACAGCAGTGGTGGTGGGAGCCTCTCCTGCCTCCTCAGCAGTGCTAAGGATGTCTGACTGCAGCTTAGGTCTGCTCCCCGCTGGCAAGTGGACATCCCCTGAGGGCTGCTGGGCTGCCAGAGGGATGTCTGATTGCCATCTTAGGCCCAATACCCTGGGGAGCAGGCCTATGCCAGCAAGTGGTCACCCCCGAGGGGTCCCAGACTGCGAAAGGGCACAGGCCGGGCTGAGGGACCCCCTACCCCTGAGTGCACAAATTTTTGTGCACCGTGCCTCTTGTTATATAATAACAAAAATAATAATTGCTAATGAGTATCATGTCTTGCACCACTTAAGATACATCAAATACTTTATATGTACAAGCTCATTTAATCATCACAGCAACTCTATAAGGCAGGTTGTATTTTTATCCCCATTTTATTGATTTAAGACACAGAGAGGTTCAGTAACTAGCCCACAGTCACACTAAGTGGTAGAGCCCAGATTCAAACCCAGGAATTCTAATTTTGAAGTTTTTAACCAGTGCAGCATACTGCTTTCTAAATATGTGAACTGTGACTATACAAAGCTGTTCATTTTTTTCAAATGGTTTTCATAAGCTACATGAATATGAGTTACTTTACTGAATACCTCCTGACTCTCCCCTTACTGAACTCTAACATATTTCCTAATAGCTATGTCTTAACTGACCAGTTTGAGTTCACTGCACAAAGAATTTGGTATAGTCAGCTCCATGTAGCATCAGAAGTGAACTATTGGCATTCAAAATTTATTTTTTTAAAAGGAAATAAATTACATTTCATTGATTTGTCAAATGCTAAGTCTAGAGTGGACCTTAGAATTTAGTTTATTCTCCATCATAAAACTTAGGCATAGAAAGCAAAGTGACTTTTCAAAGATCAGAAATATAAAAAGTATGATGGAGCCAGCAATAACATTAATTAATCCAGATTTCAAAGATAATAAATATCAATTCTATAAGCAGTTCCCACATTATAAAGCTCAATAGAATGAGGAACATGCCAAAGTCTAAATAGTCTTCATATACGTATAATTCAAGTGACTTTATTTAAGGCTGATTTTCCATTGTCCAGGACACTCATGGCTCTCTCCAAATTCTATGTACTACATAATCCCTATTTCTACGTGCCTAAAAAAATTAGGAATTCAAGACCAACTGCCAGATCAGCCTACCTATCATACCTCAGTGAAAGTGAAAAAGGATCCTGACTTGTAAGTCAAAGGTAATTTTTTAAACAGAACATTTTCAATTATTATTAAGGCAACCAATGCTACTAACTTGTACTATATGTCTAACTGTTTTTATTGAATATAGTCAGTCTCAATTACCTGCACTACAAAAGGAGACAACATCAGTTAAAACTGTATTAGTTACAAGAAATTGGAAGCATTTTTGGCTAATTTAAACAGAAAATAAATGTACTAAAAGGAAATTAGGCCCTAGCTGGTTTGGCTCAGTGGATAGAGCGTCGGCCTATGGACTGAAGGGTCCCAGGCTCGATTTTGGTCAAGGGCACATGCCTGGGTTGCGGGCCTGATTCCCAGTATGGGGTGTGCAGGAGGCAGCCAATTAACAACTCTCTCTCATTGATGTTCCCATGTTTCTCTCCCTCTCCCTTCCTCTCTGAAATCAATAAAAAATATTTTTAAAAAAAGGAAATTAGAAAGTTAACAGACTTACCAAGCAAACTGAGGAAGCAGATTTGGCAACTGGCCAAAAAAGGGGGGAGGGGGTGAGTCTAGAGAGCTGTGGGGTCCAAGTCAAAATCCTGCCATAATTAGTTCCTAAAGTTACCAATGCTGGCACTGGTGAACTCTGAACACCACCAAATGCATCATCCACTCCTGGGCAGTGAATACCTTCCCTGGCATCACTGGCATTTCTGTCCCTGAAAATGCAATCCTGTTCTAGCTCCTGCAGCTGGCTGCAGCTACAAAAGATGCTCTGCAGCCCCTATTTCTTTGGGGCACTAACTTCTTTGTATGTGCATGAGAGAGAAAATGTGTGTGTGTGTGTGTGTGTGTGTGTGTGTGAGAGAGAGAGAGAGAGAGAGAGAGAGAGAGAGAGAGAGAGACCTTGCCCGTGAGCTTCTTATACACACCAGAAAGAGTTTTAACTTTGTGTTCCACGTTGTTCTCCTGTGCTTTATATATATGAACCTTTACGAGACAGCTGCCATCCAATTTCACGCGGATTCTCTTGCCCACGATTTCACTTTGGAAAACCAACTCCTGTAGGATGGTGTTGCGCACAGCTATCAGAGTGCAGCTCCGGTGACATTTTATCTTATATTTTGTAAGGCTTTTTGGAGTTGGCTTAGACAGAATTCTCCTCTGTGCAATAAAGACCTGCTTCCCACTGAACTTTTTCTCCAATTCTCGTAGTAGCCAGACTTGGATTTTTCTGGAAATATTTCAATTTGGAACAGGAAAAAAAATATAATAGCTTTCCAACTGCCATCAACTTCTATTTCCTTGGCAGCTGTCATATTCAGTTCCCGAAGCTGGCCCTGAGGTCCAAGTTCACCTCCAGCTCAGGGAGAGTCTGGGTGATGCCAGACTTGTAGAGGAAGCAGGCAAATCACCCATCTCCAATTTTCCCCTCAAAAGGTTTATCTGCATACTATAAAAGCTACTGCCTAAGATCAAGGCTTATAATTTCAGTAGGCACTAGGGGATGGCTGCAATCCTCTCCAGAGACCAGGGAAGCTGGAGAATACCTCGTCCACCTTCTCCTTCCAACCCAATCCAAATCACCAGTATCTCACCTGAAGGAGCTTGTACCCACATCTATTCCCCAGTTTAATAGGTCACTGGGTCCCTGGCTCTGATAGCCAAAGGGGCTTTCATTCATTAAAACAATAGGACTGTATTAAACAAAGGAACAATTCTTAACTGGCTATCATCCCAAGACCACACAGAGAAATCAAGCAAAATTGCCCATCTCCCAGTATTTCCTTAGAGAAAAGTGTACCTGCTTATTTTAAAAGCTGCTGCCTGATGGCAAAACTTCTAATACAGGAGGCATCTAGGGGCTGGCTGTGATCTTCCCCAGAGACCAGGAAAGCCTACAGACACCTCTGAGGGCCTGTCCCTCCAGTCTACTCCAGTAATAATGCCAAGTTGCTAGTATGTCCCTAGAAGGAGCTTGTACACTTATCTTGTGCCACAGCTTTTGTGACAGCCACCAGAAGGACAGGTCCCCCAATCACCTGACTCCAACAACCAAAGGCGCTTGCATTAACGGGTCCCCTAGGAATGTAACAAAGAAAGAAATCACTCTTAATGGGCACAGAGAACCATCCAGACACTACTAGTATACGTTGGGTTGAGCAAAGAAGATTTGGGGGGGCAGGGCAGAGGGGAGCTCATCTCCCAGTTTCTCCATGGAAGGGTCTTAACTGCATACATACCCCAGCTGCTGCTTGAGGGTCAGGCTCCTAATCAGCCGGCATCTAGGTGCTGACTGTGATTTTCTCCATTAGAACACTCATGGGTCTTGCCACACCCTCAACAACTGGAAAATACTAAGAACAAAGAAGGACGCTCGGACAAATCACAAAATCTAAGGGACAATTAGGAGCTAGGACCAGCCTGATCAAGGAGATTCATCTCCTACATGAGATCATTTTGTCAAACTGGTAGAGTTGGCTGTTTTAGGTAATGTTCAGAAGCCAAACCAGAGGATCCAGGAAAATGAAGAAACAAAGGAATATGTTCCAAACAAAAGCACAAGATAAATCTCCAGGAACAGATCTTGCAATGAAATGAAAAAAAAAAAGTGATTTGAATGATAGAGTTAAAAACAATGCTGGCTGACGTCAGCATAGATATGCATAAATAAAGTAAGAGCTACAATAGGTATGCATAAATAAAGTAAGAGCTTCAACAAAGACTCAAAAAAATGTAAAAAAGGAATAAACAGAAATCATAGAGCTGAACAATACAATAAATGAACTAAAAATCTCAAAAAAGAAGTTCAACAGCAAACTACATCAAGAGGAAGAAAAGATCAATGAATTCAAAGGCAGGGCAGTGGTATTCATCCAATCAAAAGAGCTAAAAGGCTAAAGAATGAAAAATAATAAAGATAGCTTAGGGAACTTATGGGAAACATCAGACCAATATATACATTATAAGGGTCCCCAGAAAGGATCATTGAAAACTTCCTTAATCTGATAAAAGTAACAGACATCCAGATCCAAGAAGCCCATGAAGGACCAGATAAGAGGATACAAACACCAAGACACATCATAATTATTTTTCAAAGTTAAAGACAAGGAAAGAATCTTAAAAGCTGCAAAAGAAAAGCAATGTATTACATATAAGAGAACCCCCATAACCATAAGCAAAGTTTGCAGCAGAAATGTTTCAGGCCAGAAGAGAGTGGCATAACATTCAAAATGCTGAAAAAAAAAACTTGCCAAACAAAAATACTCTACTTGACAAAGTTGTTCTTCAGAATTGAGAGTTTTCTAGTCAAACAAAAGCTGAAGGAGTTCACCACCACTAGACCAGCTTTGCCATAAATATTAAAAGGGAGTTCCTTAAAATGAAATAAAAGGATACTAATCACTAATAGGAAAACATATGAAAGTATAAAACTCACTGATAAAGGTAAGTATATAATTAAATTCAAAGCACTCTAAGAAAATGGTGGTGGGTAAATACCTTATAATTATGTTACGAAGGTTATAGACAAGATTGCTAAAAAAACAATAAAAGCCACAAAACTATAACCACACTAATTTGATAATGGCCTACCCAATGAAAATGATGCAAACTGTGACATCAAAACATAAAAGGTGGGATTGAGAGAGCTTTGATATGGGTTTGAAATTAATTATTATTAGCTTCAAATAGACTGTTTAAATGTTTATGTTAGATCCATGGAAAGCACAAAGTAAAAGCCTAGGGTAGATAAACAAAAGAGAAAGAGAAAGGAACCAAAGCATAACACTACAGAAAATCATCAAATCTCAAAGGAAGAGAGCAAGAGAATAAGAAAGGATCAGAAGAATTACAAAAAACAATTAACAAAATGGCAATAGTAAGACCATACAAATCAACAATTACTTTAAATGTAAAAGGCCTCAATTCACCAATCAAAAGATATAAAGTTTCTGCATGGATTAAAAAAATATGGCTGAAATATTTTTTTAAATAGATTTTATTGATTTTTACAGAGAGGAAGGGAGAGGGATAGAGAGTTAGAAACATCAATGAGAGAGAAACATTGATCAGCTGCCTCCTGCACACCTACTGGGGATGTGCCCGCAACCAAGGTACATGTCGTTGACCGGAATTGAACCTGGGACCCTTCAGTCCGCAGGCTGACGCTCTATCCACTGAGCCAAACCGGTCAGGGCTGGCCGAAATATTTGTTGCCTACAAGAAACTCACCTCAGGTTTAAGCATATGTACAGATTAAAAGTGAAGGGATGGAAAGCAATATTCCATGCAAATAGAAACCAAAAAAAAGCTGGGGTTGCTTTACTTAAATCAGATAAAAATCTACATTAAGCCAAAGACTGTAATAAGAGACTAAGAAAGTCATTATGTAATGATAAAGGCATCAATTCACCAAGAGGACATATTATAAATATGTATGCATGCAACAATGAAGTACCTTAATATATAAAGCAAATAGAAACAGAGCTGAAGGATGAGATAGATAGCATTACAATCAGCAGGAGACTTCAATATCCCAGTTCAACTACACATTGATTATTATGATACTGTGACATATAATAAGAAATATATATTTGGTCATTATCCCCAATCCTGGCACAGAGCTCCTAAAACCCATGGAATTTCCTAAATGAGAGTAGGAAAGGTATGTTACGTTAATGAGGTGAGTTTGGGAACATAGCTAGGATGGGGCTGGTTGCCAAGAGAATCAAGACCCCTAACAGGGGAGAGGAACTGGAGGTTGTATCAGTTGCTAATGGTCAATAATTTAATCGATCATGCTTGGGTGATGGAGCCTCTATAAAATCCAGGTTGGTGAACCTATGGAAATTTGGGGGAGGGACACCTGGAGAATCCATGGAAGTTCCATATCCTTTCACCATATCTTGCCCTATGTTTCTCTTCCAACTGGCTGTTCCTAAGTTATACGCTTTTAAAATAAACCTGCAATCTAGTAAGTAAAATGTTTCTCTGAGTTCTGTGAACTCCTCTAGTAAATTAATTGAACGCAAGGAGGGGGTTATGGAATCTCCAATCTATAGCTGGTTGGTCAGAAGCACAGGTGACATTCTGGACTTGCAATTGGTGATTGAAGTTGGGGCAGGGAGAGGGTGGGTTGAGAGAGTCTGGCAAGACTGAGCCCTCAACCTGTGGAATATAACACTACCTACAGTAGATACTGTCAGAATTGAGGTGAATTGTAGGGTGCCAAGCTGGTGTTGAAGAATTGCTTGTTGTGGAAAAAAACAAATACATACATCGGAATGGGAATCAGAATCATCCAGATATAAAATCAATATGGAAACATTGAACTTAATCTATACATTAGGTCAGATGGACTTAATACACATTTACAGAACATTTCATACAACAGCATTATAACACACATTCTTCTCAAGCACACAGAAAACATTCTCCAAGAAGGATCATATATTAATCCACAAAACAAGTCTTAATACGCTTAAGAAGGCTGAAATCATATTGAGCATCTTTTTCAACTACATACAACAGTATAAAACTAGAAATCAATTACAAGAAGAAAAATGGAAAATATACATTTATATGGAGACTAAACAACATGCCCCTGAAACAACCAATGGGTAAAAAAAAATTAAAACAAATAAAAAAAATACCTTGAGAGAAATGAAAACAGAAACACACATACAAAAACTTACGGGACACAGCAATTCTACGATAAAAGACTAGCAATAAATGTCTATACTAAGAAAAAGTTTTCAAATAAACAACCTAAGTTTACACCTCAAAGAACCAGAAAAAGAACTAAGCCCAAAGTTATCTGAAGCATGGCTATGTTATATATCAGAGTGGAAAAAAATAAAATAGAGACAAAAAAGACAAAAGAAAATATGAATGAAACTATGATTTGGCTTTTTGAAAAAAGATAAAATTAACAAGCTGTTAGCTAAACTTATAAGAGAAAAAGATGACTCAAATTAGAAATTAAAGAGGAGACATTAGTACTGATATCATATAAATAATAAAGATCAGAAGAGGCCCGGCCGGTGTGGCTCAGTGGTTGAGTGTTTACCTAAGAAACAGGAGGTCAACATTTGATTCCCAGTCAGGGCACATACTGGGGTTGCAGGCTCAATCTCTGAGGAGGCAGCTGATCAGTGATTCTCTCTCATTATTGATGTTTCTATCTCCCTCTCCCTTTCCTTTCTGAAATCAATAATCAGAAGAGACAATTGTGAATAATTTAGACCACAAACTGAGCAATCTAAAACAAATGGATAATTTCTTGAAACATACAATCTCTCAAGATTGAATTATGAAGAAACTAGAGGCCTGGTGCACAGATTCATGCACCGTAGGGTCTCTTGGCCTGACATGTGGGGATTGGGCCGAACCCCTATCTCTGACATCTCCCGAGGGGTCCTGGATTGCAAAAGGGTACAGGCCACGATGAGGGGCCTTACCGGTGCATGATCAGGGTCTGGGAGGGGCCGAGGGAGGACTCCAGGGCATGTCCAGTGCCGGAAGCTGGTCCATCCTTGCTGTTTCAAGGGACCTGGCATATATGGCATACTGTTCTTAATGTTTGGTCACCTTCTTGGCACTATGTGTTTTAACCAAGGTCACCTCTCCGAGAAAGGTTGTTTCCCCAGGTAGAGATTTTCCCCTGAAGTTAGGGAGGGAATAAAACCGCTTCACTAAGTGCCAGGCCGGTAATTAATCTCTTTAACTACAAACAATCCTGGCTGGAGAACCTAGCAAGAGAACATGGACACAGAACTTGGCTGGAGATTGTGGCTAGAGATCCTGGCAAGGCTGCTGATCAACTGAACGCTGTCTCCGTGTCATTCCTTCTTCGCCGACTCTGTCCACACCTTTGGGGACCCCTGGACCTGCTGGGGTCGGACCCCGGCAGTCCAGCCCATCTCGCCCAGTCCCAATCGGTTGGACCCCAGCAGAAAGCTAACTTACTGTTTGGAGCATCTGCCCCCTGGTGGTCAGTGTGCATCATAGCGACTGGTCGAATGGTTGAAAGAACAGTCAGACACTTAACATATTAGGCTTTTATTATATAGGACAGAAAATCTGCATAGACCAATTACTAGTAAGGAGATTTAATCATTATTTGAAAATCACCCAATAGAGAAAAGTCCAGAACTAGATGGCTTCACAGATGAATTCTACCAAACATCTAAAAAAGAATTAATATCAATCCCCTCAAATTCTTCTAAAAAATAGAAGAGTAGAAAACACTTTCAAACACGTTACCAGGCCAGCATTACCATGATACCAAAACCAGACATGAATACTATGAGAAAAAAAAATTACAGGCCAATATCCCTTTTGAACACAAAGGCAAAAATCTTCTTTTAAATATATTTTATTGATTTTTTTACAGAGAGGTAGGGAGAGGGATAAAGTTAGAAACATCGATAAGAGAGAAACATTGATCAGCTGCCTCCTGCACACCCCCTACTGGAGATGTGCCCACAACCAAGATACATACCCTTGACCAGAACTGAACCTGGGACCCTTCACTCCACAGGCTGATGCTCTATCCACTGAGCCAAACTGGTTAGCGTAAGGCAAAATTCTTTTAACAAAATGTAGCAAACCAAATTCAACTCATTAAAGGATCATATACCATGATCAAGTGGGATTTATTCCAGAGATACAAGAACAGTGCAATATTGCCAAATGAATCCATGTGATAATCCACATAAACAAAACGAGAAAAAAAATTATATAATCATTTTTGTAGCTACAGAAAAAGCATTTGACAAAATTCAATAAAAACTCCCACAAAAGTATAGAGAATGTGCTTTATATAAGACCATAAGTGACAAGCCCATCTATATATATAAAACCCTAATATACAAATAGACCGAATGGCAGAACAACTGAAAAACTGGTCACTATGACGTACACTGACCACCAGGGGGCACGCGTGGAACATGGCCGGCATCAGCTTTATTGAGATGGGTGAGCAGGGGCACCAGACCAAGATGGGATGCCAGTTGCTGTCATCCGGGCAAGCCTCTAGTGGTTACTGAAAATTCTTTGCTCCTGTGTGCAGCAGTCCTGCCAGGCACTTGCACCAGCTGCCAGCACCTGCACCTGCTGCTGGCACCAGCTCTATTCACACCTGCTGCTGGCACCCGGCACTGGCCCCAATTGCTTGGCACTGTCAGCAGGTGTAAACGGCGGCTGCAGGCCCCAATCGCCCCTCAGAGCTTATCCTCCTCCTCCTGCCCCTGAGGAGCAATTGGAGCCAGCAGCCACCTCTCACACCTGCTGCTGGTTCCCAGGCCAGTCCCAATCCCTTGAAACTGTCAGCAGGTGCGAGCAGTGGCTGCCGGCCCCAATTACCCCTCAGGACTTCTCCACCACCCCTGCTCCTGAGGGGCAATCGGGGCAGCAGCTGATGCTCGCACCCGCTGACAGTGCCAGCCCTGCTCACACCCACTGCTGGTGCCAGCCTCAATCACTCTGCGCACTCAGCAGGTGTGAGTGGGGCCAGTGCATGGGAACGGTGCCAATAGACGAAGGCTATTGGCAGACAGGGGATCGGGGACTGTGGCGGGAGGGGGCGGGCGGGAGCACAGAGGATGGGCCAAG